CTCGTCTACACTCCATATCAGTTGGTGCCAGTGATGCACTATGGGACATATATGGGGCCCAGTACCGACCCACAGCAAGCAGCTCACTGTGGGCTAATGTGGGTCTAGGTCAGTGCCCCCACACAAACCCCAAACAGCCACCTTTGTTAGACAATCTTTTGTTTGTTTGTTTGTTTTTTACAGGACATCTGAGAACAAATACAGTAAAACATCACAGTACAGCTTTTCTTTTAATATATATATTAAATATTATTATAATATATTATATAATATACAATATTACTCAACAAATAAGGTCAATTAAACTTCTTCTGAATAGTACATGTCTAGTTTCAGGTTGTGTTGCTGTACAGTCCAGCAGGAAAGTCCACAGCAATGGAAACAAATCTTTTTCAGTTAAGAGCTATTCTGGTATAAAGAAATTTTAAATGCAACCTATCCTGTGATGTCTTGGCTTTTCACTTTGAATTTGACTGGGCATGTTTAACTAAAATGAATACTTTTTTTTGCTGACCTCACATTTGATTATCTGATAAAGCAATAATGTGAAAGAGAATAACTTTCTTTGAACTTTGGACTCACTGGTAAAACATATAAACTTTAATGTGTTCATAAAAAGCCCAAACCTGTTTACTCCTTTGGTTGCACAGCAAAGGCATCCACTAGCTTCACCATAAGTAAAGTTTCTGAGTTGAATAAAACCGACATAAGAAAAGAGATGGTGAGACACAGAGTTCGTTTAATGTGACAACATACAAAGAGATAAATGCCAAGAACTGAAATTTCTACAGTGGCATGTAAAATTAAGCTAATACACGTGCACACACACTCTGTCTCTATGTCAGACACACATACTTCTTTCTCTGTCATTCACACATTTGGTATACATCCTAAATCCCTATGCACATCAATAGCCAGTGTTTTTTCACCAGTCTTCTGGAAGATGGAAAAAAAACAAACAAGCGCTCTCTGTTTACAAGTCTCTACTTTTCATCAGCAAGTTGATCATGAAACAAATGCTAATAGCTACAATCAGACCAGGCTAAAACAGACAAGGACAGTGTTTTGTTGTATGTTTACCAAGCTTAAAAGGTTCTCGACTAAAGACAATTACACAAATATTGTTATTTATCCAGAACTGTAAAGATGTGCCTCATCGAATGGTCGCCAACACATTTGCATTGCCCCTGAAGCTCAAACACATATCTGCTTCAGCCTACCATGTACTCGCTTTCTGTAAATTTGCAAATGTTGCACTGCAACTTTGAATCTCAGCAGCTCACCGTTTAACAGGGTTGAGCTCCCAAAGAGCAGTAAGCTTTTGATCTGGATTTATCTGTCGAGGCACTCATCCTCGTTACTGAGTGTGTATGGCAGGTCGGCAAAACATAAGAATATGAGACAAGGGCTACTTCCTCCTCACAAGCATTTATAAGAAAACACATAAGAATTAATATTTCAATTTTATGTTGAAGGTGTTCAATTTATATTTTAGTCCTTTCATTAAGTTATTCCTGTGTGTTTTAACCCAGGTCTGTTACAGTGGTGGTGCCTGAGGCCCCTCTACACCACAAACACAATCACTAAGGAGTGACTATACAAAATTAAATACAGTAGCGGTTATACCGAAATATCATACGATGATAATCTCTATTACTGCACCTTACCATTGGGTCAGGTCTCCTGTCTATCACTGGCAAAATGGAGGAACAAGTCATCAAGTCACACATTTCTGTATTTATGACGACTGATTTGAACCCGTCGCTGAAAACGGGAATGCTGAGACGTCTTTCAAACTGAAAAAGTTGAAGGTCAGTTCAAATGTTAGCAGTACCATGCCTTGTGTTATAAAATAGAGTTAGCTGCCAGCAGCAGGACATTTATCTCACAAATTGAGAAAAAAAAAGATAAATAATCATCTCCTCTCTTCTGAATTATTAATAAATCTCAAAATCCCATGAGCCTGGGATTTCTTGGAATTTACAAAATAATTATCTTGTAAATTTAGAGAAGGACAATACAATTGATCAAGTGAATGCATTACATCCTGTATCATAGATTTAAAGAATATTAGGCAGATGTTTTTTTCATGTAAAACTCTTATAGCTATACATAGCTTTAAGGGTTTTCAATAATGAATTCAATATCAAAGTCATAGGTGAACACATTAGGAAACATTTTTAGCCTTTTTCCACGTGGTTCCTCGTGGATGTTTAGCTCCATCTTTGGGCCCATACCGTGTTGTATCTGTATGTACCTACAGCCAGCAGCTGTCCTCATGAACAAATATGATCTTCTCATGTGACCAAACAATCACTTAGATGCTGCTTTACAAGCTTTAAATTTAAACTTGCAGGTGTTTTTTACGTTTAGCCAGAACCACCTTTACTTTCATTCATCTCCTGGCAAAAAATCAATTCCCCCAAATATCCGAGAATTCCTACAACTACATTAGCTCTGTATTTTGAACCTTTCTACAGTACAATACCGAAACCAATGTTTTATTTCTGTACATCAAAAGTAAAAGTGACAATTAAACAGAAAGGAAGTGAATGAATTGTCTGGACTGTAATCTAAAGCAGGACCTTCTTTTCCAAGTTTGATGATTTTAAAGTGAAGAAGCTTCTCAAATATTCAAGTACAGAACAAACAGTTTTCCTCATCAAGAGCAAAATAAATATTTCTGTCCACTGTAAATATCACTGTAAAATAAATGGACTTCTTGCAGCAGCTTGAATCAAGAGGTGACTTCACAGCTCAACCTTTATTTTAAGGTGCCGAGGGACTCAGCCTGGTTCCTATTTTTAGGCAATAGTTACCTGACAGCTCCACTGCAAATATGTGACAATGGGGAATAGAGAAAATACCAGACAACCCTTGCGCCTCCTCCCTGTGCTTACAGCATCCAGACTCAAAAATGGAGGTTGCAGGGTTGGCAAAATAATTCAGTACAGAGGGGGAGAGGAAAACTAAACATTATTGCACAAGAGTATCGTCCAATCTAGAGTTCAAAATTAACATAGAGGGTAAAATATTTGGTCATCAGTTATCTTTTTACCCAGAAATCTTTCTGGATCCATGGCCCAAAAATACTGATTGGACCCAAATCTGGAGGGCAAAGAAAAATAAGTAAACCTTACATTATTATCACCCTGTTGGGACATAAAAAAAAGATTATCAGATCAGTTTGTCTGTAAAGGGGTAGTGCTTGATATAAAAAACCATCTTGGGTTTTGTTGAAATGTGTCCTAACACCTGTTAACTGTGCCATTTGATATTGGCTAATACTGACATTTTCTTCTCCCGTTTCAGCAGATGCATGTCTGGCTTGTTGGCCAGCAAAAACGTAACACTCCGGATGCAGTGCTGATCCCCGACACTTACTGTAGGCCACGACACGGCAGCACACAGTAATAAACCGATTCCTTGCAATCCAAACGGCTTCTTGTAATCGCCAAACCATCTGACATCAGAGTTTGGACATACATGTGTTTCTGGCCTACTTGTGACAATTTGTCTACACTGATTTTATTTACAGATTGTAGAGAGAGTCACAGGGTCAGTAAACCTGATATGGAAATGATGATATTAAGAAAAGTAAGTTTTATTTTTGTTTTGAAAGCAAAAATTGCTTAGGGCCTGTCAAAAATCATCTTTTTGGTTAAAACACACATTTTGATAATGTTAACCATTTATTTCTTAGGTTGCCAGAGCAGCTAGGGATCTCACGTATTTTGAGATTTTATTTAAAAAATACGGACCAATGTCTTTAATCTATCATCTTCCAAAAGATGAAGTAAAAGACTTGATAAATAAAACAATGTGTTGTAGACAGGGCTAGGATTAAATGGTAAATGGCCTGTATTTGTATAGCGCTTTACTCGTCCCTAAGGACCCCAAAGCGCTTTACATATCCAGTCATGCACCCATGCACACACACATTCACACACTGGTGATGGCAGCTACATTGTAGCCACACCCACCCTGGGGCGCACTGACAGAGGTGATGAATACAAATTTCTTCAAATTGTTTAATTAGTTCGATATATTGTGCCGCGGTTGTTACTCAAAAAAGTAATGTATTAAACATCACTTGTTAATTTTGTTAAAAGTAATGCAGTATTTTACATAATTCCTCACCACAGAAAGTCATTTGTTACAGTACTTTCATTACTCCATAAAATGACCTGGAATGCATTGTCTCATGATTACCAGTCAACAACACAGTTCCACACACCAACACAAATCCCACTGGGTCAGCATGCACTCAGCTTCATCATCACTGTGGGATCTCGGCTAGCTTTGCAAAACATGTGCTAGCAGTATAAAGTTGTTTCTGCCATTTTACTGTTACACACTTGTCCTTTTGGGCCATAAAAATAAAGGAAATGTCTCCTGTAGACGGCGGACGCACCACCATTTTCCTCGCAAGAAGACAAAAAAATCATGTTTGTTTGATCTTTTTTCCTTTCTATCGGCCCACGATGCAAATGTAATATGTGAATGTGTGTGTGTGTGTGAACATAATTAAATTCAAAACACATTCTAATTTTCTCAAACTGCTGCTGTGCATGACAACATGGCCACTGAAAGACTGGAGCTGTGTGTCTCATGTGTGTTGTAGACACTGCCATGAGCCAGATAAGAAGACTAAAGGATGCTCCATGTGTCAATGCAAAGAAACGCAGCATGATAGGCAATCGAAATTTAGCCGAGCGCTGTCCCATCTCACACCTCCAATCATGGCTAATCAATGATGACAGCTGCATGTGCAAACCCTGTGGGTTGCCACAGTAACAGACAAGTGGGTTGATAACAGAATATTGAGCAAATGTCTTTAGTTTATTCCACCCTCCTTACCTTCTCCCACAAGACAAATCGATCTGTGTTATGAAAAGTTATGAGGCACAACTCTAGCATCTGCAGCATGTCTCACATCCTTGTGAAAGTTTAAGAGCTTCACAGAACTCTAAAAATAAAATAAAACCGCTCCTAAATAAGCACTTACGATGATGATGATGATGATCTTGAGGGTTTCTGATGGTTTCTTTACATATAAAGATATGCTGCCTATGCCTGTGTATGTGCATGCGCATCCATGTGTAACTGGCAAAAGTGTCAGTCTGACATCCTGCTTTTCCAAACAGAAAAGTTAATAGACATAATAGCAGTTCTTGCAATTCAGAATGGAGGTATTAACACTGGTAACCTGAGTCCTTTGTTACCGTAGTGTTGTCAGTTCTCCTTAGACTGTATCACGAGCCTTGGGAATAAACCTGTAAGCCCCCTACCTCATCTGTCCCAAGATGCACCATCTAACATGAGGCTTATCAGTCTGAATATCCATTAGAGTCAGCACTGACACTAGTGTTGATTGAGGCAAAAAACTTAAGCTCCAGACCACTAGGTTCACTGTCTGGATGCAAAACTTGTGATAATACAGTTACTGGCTGTCCGATGTGTCCCTTTAAAGTTCTTGGGAATCGAGCTGTTAATAGACACCCACTCCCTCCCCCTTTCCCAGAACATTAGAAATGTTATTCAGTCCCTATGTACCTCTCAGACTCTGAAGATGTGACCAGAGGGTTCCAGACATGAGGTAGCACTAGTAGTATTCCTCATAGTTCTTGGGATTGAGGCAGTAGAGGATTCCCCCACCGAAGGAAAAGATGGTGCCTCCCCAGGCCAGGCCGTAGCCCCAGTTAAATTCATGGTAGATCCTCAAGTTGATACTCTCGATGAACTTGACAGGGTAGAGGACCAAACTGCAGGCCTGGAGTACAACTGGATGCGATATACAGATTTTAGCAAAATTCTACGCATGCATGTAAAGCTGAAAATAAACTGGAATTAAAAAAAAAGGTTTATGTCTCAAACTGCACAAATTGACAATTAAATGGATAAAAGTTATATTTAAAATCCCACAAAGAAATTGTTCAAGTGGATATAGCAATTCAATCTTTGTAGCAGACAGTTTTGAACAGAAAACATCGTCTTGTGGATCATTAACATCAGTTAGTAAGTCCTGCTATCACCCAGAGTCAGTCTAAATGTAGCATATCCAATAAAGCCATGCAAAATTTTATCTTTACAATATAAAAATGATCTGAGTTACAGGTCTTTGATGTGCATTGGTGTTGGTTAAAATTTGACAGTATTTCAGTTTTCTTTTTATTTATTTACTTTATTATTATTTTAACGTCCCTCCCTGAGAGGTGGTGGAGGCTTTGTGTGTTTTCTGGGGCTTTTGCCCTTAGAGTCACCCAAGGCAAACTGATCATGGATGAGGGGCAGGACAAATAGTGATTGAGATGACCCCTATGAAAGAAAAAAAAAGTCAATGGAGCAGATTATCCTGCCTGGGATCAGGTTACTCCCTCCTGTGTTATGGCTGTTTTCTGTTGTCTTATGAAAACACTAATTGTACACATCCATGATGTTTCGAGTTGGGTATTTACCCATTAAATTTGACTCTCATCTGGAGAACTTTATGGCACCAGCTAATCTTACTCTTTATCTTTAAAAAATGTAATCCGATCCATTAAATATCATAAAAGCACCTCACAAAACTTGCGACATGGCGTAACCCAGCTCATAACCTTAGCACGTTGGGGCAGCATGCGTAACGTTATAGAGCAGCTGTGGCGTGCGAGACCTCTCGGCGGCCTGGCTGAGCATTTGGAGCCTCGCTACCAAACCGACATTTCATCTCTGAGAAAGTTTACCCAAGTTCATCTCTGAATGTTTGTAAAGCATTCCCACGTTAAGCTTAACAACCGAACAACCGATTTTGAAACCTTCTCCACTGAATAATCAGAACACTGATCAAGTTGGAGTGGGTGTAAAATTGATTTATTTGCAGGTTTTTCCCCAAAACTTGAAAAAATAAACTGATTTAAAAAGCTCAAAATTGGTCATTCTAAATTTTCTTGTATTTAGTCGATATTTAGATTCAATTTTTTTTTTATGTATGATTGAATCAAACAGTCCAGGCTGCATATTTCAAAAATATGCAAATACGAATACAAGTGGTATAAAATAAACAAGTCTTAAAGAGGTGTGAGTTGTGATCCATTATTCACTGAGAGTCCCTTTATAGTTCACCCAAAACATTCAGCCTCTGTATTGGCTCGTTTAAAACTGCTGTCCGCACCCCATCATGGAAACACCAGTACGAATAACAAGTAGCCACAGATGATTGATCTGTTTTCCAGGTTCTAAAATTATACATCATATAATGATTTTTGATGATTATTTAATTGAAGCATGGATGGTTTAAATTACCAAAACAGTTGTGTTCAAATCCATTGTGATGAAATGGTAAAAATGCAGTCTTGCAAAAAAACTAATTTGCTTTTACATCTTACAAAACTTACAAAAAAAGTATCAAAATTTGGTTTGATCAAGTATCATTCCTATCAACAAATACTTTTAAAGGAATCCTTTGTTACTCACATTGAGGTATTTAAAAAATAAAAAAGCTAGCAATGTCAAATGTTAAAGCAAAATATCTTTGATTATCTTTGAGTACAGCACAAGGTCTAGTGGTACTAGAGGTGCTGCAGCTCATCACAGCACCCTCTGCCAAATACAACAAATAGATAAATCTGTTTAAACACTATTCCTGACGTTATTTGCCTACAAAATGTGTGATTTAGAATGTTGTGTTAAATAATCAAAAATACTATATCCCCCTTTGAAAGCGTCATGTAGAAGTGATGCATTTTGACTCTCACCAGCTAAATGTCCTCACAGACATTTTGAACACCTTGGACATCAGTGCCTCTCGTGACCTAAACTTCTCACCGCAAAGTTACACATGAAGTAATAGGAGCTGCACCCAGATGAAGGTAAAGCTGCCCCCACGAAGATTATCATTATAATTAATCAGTAATTTCAATGTCCTGCCTCTGTTGCAAAAGAGTACTTGTTCAACTTCAATTTTGGCTGTATATCAAGATGAACAGGTTTGTAGAGTTGTGCGACGAGACACAACGCTTCAACACACACATCCATAATGATGTCATATTCCAGTGATTTCATGAGCACTCATTTTTCATTAGTGCTTTGACTGCATTCATAATTATAACAAGTTGCACAGACTCTACAAATCTGTGAACCATCTCTGAACGAATAACACTTTAGTGCTCTCTCCCATTTCTCTGGTACCCACAGTAAGATCTTAAAAAAATGTCTGACAAGCAGCAAATCTAGCGTTGAAAAATCAAGCATTTCATGCCCCAAAATTGAAATTTTCCAATTATTCCTGGAGGTATGTATAGGTATGTACAATAGGTAGGTATATACATCAGTATTCTTGTGTATACTGACCTGCAGCAAAGAGCATGAAGGCAACAGGCGCGTAGAACCGCCGTCTCGTGCCAATGCACACAGCAACCAGAGCAACCAAGAATGACATCAGCACCAGGGCTCCACCCCCTAGCAACAGTGCCAGCGTAGCAACCTGCCAGTCTGTAAGGGCAAGGTGGACAAGAAAAGGAGAGAGCGTAAGATGAAAGTAAGTAAAAGAACAGAAAATGCATTCACTGTGTGAGAGTAAAACTATGACCATGCTGTTTATATTGGGGAAAAAAACAATCACAAGTAAATAACTAATGTAAAACTAACACAAAAGCAGTGAGTTCAGTACACTGAGAAGGAGGTAAGCATAAGAGAAAATGGAACTACGACAAAGAGGAAAGGACTAGGAGATGAAAGAAAGGATACTGGGGAAGGACTTTTTATATTATTATACTAATATACAACTATTTTACTATGAAGGTGTCCAAGAATGAGACTAATAGAAAAGAATAACGGAGAGCCGGAAGAGAAGATGGAACTGGAAAACCGATACAGGAAGAAGGAAACAAAGCAGAAATTAGTATAACGTTACAAGGACAGGGGGCAAAATGAAAAGGGTTGCCAGCAGGATGGGAAAAGAGGATAGTGAAAGGAAAAGTGGAGGTGGAATGGGGAGGACCAGGAGATGAGTACAGTGCAAAGGATCTGGGGACCGAGAGGTGGTGAACAATATGAAGACAGAGAGTGCACTTAGTATGTCTAGGCCCACAAAAAGCCCGGACTAAAAAGCTTTGCTGGCAGGTTATCAAAAATCTTCCCATATTTATATGTTGTGGCTTGAACGACACTGAAATAATTCACACACATGCACACACACCATATCACTATTATAAACAACACATTATCTTAAACTGATGATTATATTTCTTCCTACTCCACTTCAGACTTAATGATTGTCATTTCATTTAGATTCTGTTTATATTATTTCTTTTTCTTTTTTCCAGACACCGTGGGAGGCATATTTAAACTGGCCTCCATTAAAGCAGCACAAACTATGACTAAGTAAGTAAAACATCTGCAAAAGAAAGGTAAGCATTTTCATTTGGTTGTAAGTTAACCACACTAGGTAAACTACCAGTTTAAAAAAATACTTATGAAAATAAACAATGGGTCTGGTTGTAGCCAGTAACCTTTTGCAAAAATAATCTTGAAACATAGATTTTATAATGTTTTCAGTTTTTTACCAGCTTTAAAAATGGTTATTAGACTGGGGGTCTTCCCCAATAGAGCCAGATTTACTAAACAGGGCAAAAATAGCAAGGGAGTGCAATACCCAAAATAGTGCTATTAAGACTCAAGATATGCCTCATTATTTTCATAATGGGGTTCAAAGTCAACGTTGTCATCCGTCTGTGAAATTTCTGCAACAGAAGCCACAATATATTTAAAGGAACCTGACACAGAAAATGAAAGAGAAGTTTTGTTGGTGTTGCGTGACTTCTTTTGGTCGGATGTTCCAGGTCATCGGACTTTGCAAAGAAAATCCAGAATTAGGTGTAATAAGTAATAACTGCAATAACTGCCACCATATCATTCTCTTCGCTTTATTTTACACGTTGAAAAAGGAACTACCAAAAATGTATATGCAATGTATATGGAAATAAAACATGAGAAAAAGGAGAAAGAGGGAGGAAAACAAAATAGAATGGGACAATGTGAAAACAGAAAAAGGCTGACGGATCTTGGTGACAACTGTAATTCAGTTTAAAGCAAAAAATAAATATAATATTTATTTTCAGCTTGCAGGATATACAGTGTCATTTTCTGAACACTTACTCGGAGAGCATGTAACACAAGTTTATTATTGCTGTACTGACAGGATTGTACCATCTACAACTGTAAAAGGTTGATTAAAGAAACGCACTTCCAACACCAAATCCAGTGAGTAAATACGGCTGATACAAGGTTATTTTTAATGTTTAAATATCATAGCTTTTATATACTTCAGATTTTTTTAATATAGTTCTTGATTAAACAGACTGATTTTAGCACACTTACAGTGCATAATTACATAAATTGTAAATGTACAAATTGTTTTCCATATGTACATAATTTAATGTCCTAAAAATTGGACTGGACAATTCTCACGTTTTTTGTTTTTATCATAAATAAGCCCAACCAATATTACATATTTATGTCTCTAAAAGAATGCAACAAACATAAAACCTAAAAAATAAAATGTGTTTTTAAATTTAAAAACAGAAAGCACATTTAATGAAATTAAGACTAGGCTATTGTTAGCAGTTTGTTAAAAAGTGGGAAAATGCACATATAGATATAGATATAAAGATATATGCATGTTATATGTGTGCCACTCTGAAAGCAACTTTGTACCTGTTAGCATTAATGGAGGTGGGATTTGAGTGCATTGGCATGGACCTAATTGGGCCAGTTCACTGGAGTACATGGGGATATAACTTCACCCAGTATGCCAGATTACCAGTCCAGCCCTGAATACATTTTCCTGGTGGACCAAGGCACTTTTGGGTTAATGGGTCGCCTGCGCATCAGCTGTACAAGCACTGACAGCAGGCCATTCATTCATTTTCATTACTGGCACTGAATTGCCCAGTCAGATCTCTTAATTCAATTGGTCCCTCCCTTACCTTTGATGAGTGCTCATGCACTTTGTAAAAAACGTTTAGTGTGCAAGACGTGGCAAGAAGCTGGAGAGCTGAGAGAAAACATGCTAGCTGAGAGAAAACAAGGTGCCTGCTACACCGTGAACAGTAGTACCAGCAACAACTAGTAACCATGCCTCATTGTCACAGTAGCCTGCTGCTGCTAGCACTAGGTGTGGAGAAGTGAAGAAAAGACGGAGGAAGATGAAATTTACATGGTAAGATAATAGTAAAAAAATGAGAATAACTGTTTACTTTGGCTATGAGCTTCTGCTAATACCTAAAGTGTAGTTCTTAATTATTGTCCCATACTGCAGTGCAAATAAAAAGTAACTGAACAACAACGGCACCGACATAATTAAAACCTGTTTCAATATCAATAGTCAAACAAATGAATATATGCATAATATGTGTACATGATAGCAATAACGGTGGGACGCTTGAACCATTTGCTCTTGTACGTCAGCATCCATCACCAGCAGACTGATGAGATGGTGAAGCCTGAGTAAAACATCTGAGAGCAGAGCTACACACATTAGGAAGGTTATCACGTGAAAATCTTCTCCAGGTCCAGAAAGGTTAGCAGCAACTATACAAAAGAGGGGATAAACTCAGACCATTTTCACAGGGAGATAAAGTGCCTTGTGAACCTTCGTGGTTACATGGCGAGGGGAGGATGTTGGCTATGAAGGGGTGGAGCCACACAAGTATTTCACCTCAGCCTCCTTAAAACATGGAGAGAGGTGGAATCCGTTCCTCTGGTGAGCTTAGCAAAGGATTAAGATGACCTGGGGACTGAAGTGTCAAATTCAACTATTTCATCCTTTCTTCTTTGTGATGACCATCTAGGGCCAGTAGGCTAGGCTGGATGGCTCTCCAATGTAAAGTCGGTTGATGGGGGTATGTGGTGGGGTGTGGTTGGCTCAGCTGAAGGGGATGAAGGGGAGGGGTGGTGCAACAGGATCAGGGGAGGCTGGCCAGCGCAGTTGCCACTGATTGTCGAATCATGCCTCTACTATTTCATCAGCGCGCTGGGAAAGAGAGGAGAGTTGCACGGGAGCAATTGCAGTGAGCTGGGCAGATGAGAGAAAGAGTGGCTGCAACAGCTAGAAATAAGCACTATAAAGATTCACAGTTAATCACTGCTATGACCATTGTGTGTGTTGTGCTGGGTCAAACAGTAGCCAGACGTGTTACACCCCTCTTCAACAACTTGGTGCTAAGATTTAAAAGGCATTTAGGAAGGACTCTTCTGGCCTGAACACCCTTCGGAGAAAACACAGGTAAGAAACACAATCAGTAAAAATTTTCACTCATTAGGGTATAAATTGTTTTTCCTGCCAATTAAGGATAAACATCACACAAACCTTCACAGACACATCACACAAATGTTAAAATAATATTTTCTGTTGGCTTAAACAAACTTACCATACTAATAAGGATTTCTGTTGCTAGATAGACCTTCACCAGTACCAGCTTTGAGACAGCCAACAAGGAAAAAACCCACGAGACAAATTATAGTTTTTGTAAAGGACCAAATATTCATGGTAATTTACATATTCACTGTTACATATTTACAAAAAAAAGACAGTTGTTGGAATTAGCATATTCACTGCCTTCTTCTTGCTCTCATTTACACACACACACACACACACACACACACACACACACACACACACACACACACACACACACACACACACACACACTTCTTAAAGGCAAACACACTGGTGGCTGCCAGTGCTACCCCTCAGCCTCCTAGTAGATGCACTGATGGTATAAATTTGAAAATCCTAGTTGAATTCCTACTGAAGTTATTGCATTCACAAGATTTTCAGAAAACTTGAACTCTGATCTTGATCTTAAGGTTGATCAAGGTCAGAGTTCAGGTCTCAGTTTCAACTGTGAAGTGAAGACTTTGAGCTGCAGGTTTGACAGGAAGAGTTGCTGCAAGAAAGCCATTGCTAAGATGTCAGAATAAGACAAAGAGGTTTGCCTGGGCCATGAAACACTCCCATTGCACTACTGAAGACTCGAAGAAGGTATTATGGACTGATAAATCAAAATTTGAAACCTTCAGTTCAGCACTCAGGATCTTTGTACGCTGTCAAGTAGGCGAAAGGATGGTTTCACAGTATGTGGTATCAACTGTCAAACATGGAGCAGTGGGATGGTCTGCACAGACTTTGACCAAGTGATGAAAACTGATGATCAAAAGGTTCGCCCTGAAACAGCGCTTTTGTATTGATTAGGGACAGACACGACACTCACACAAAGGAAGAACACACACCGTTATTTGTGCCGAAAAGTTGCCGGAAAATTATTTTCCTGGTGGCTCATTACAACCCAGTGGCTGGTCACATGGGATATATAAAACTCTGAAATGAATAATGGCCCGAATTTATTGGCCAGGCATCCGGGTGGATGTGCACCAATCATGCTCCAGAGTAGGAATTCTGATGCTGACTGACCAGGGCACATTGTTCATGT